GGGGGGGGGGGGGGAGGCTGGAGAAAACAGCTGTCCCTTTGCCTCGCCATCTCATCCCTCCTCTGAAGCCCGCAACAGCTGGAGGGGGGCTCAGGGGAGAGCCGCAGGGGCCTCTCTGGGCCAGGCAGACAGCTGAGTCCATTCCTGGCATGCCTGATGCCTGCCAGGCCGTCCAGGAACAGGGTGGCCTGGATTCCAGCCGGGGGGTGGGGAAGGGGCTCAGGCCTGAGGAGCTTGTGGGCCTCTCCCTCAGGCCAAGCAAACCCCACCCATGTTCCCCCAGGCTCCAGGCCTCCCACCTGCTTCCTGGAATCTGAGGGACCCAGGCCCGGAAGTGATGTTGGAGGGGTGCCCCCGCATGTGAGTGCACAGGCAGCGACGTGGCTCAGCGGAGCCGGACGCAGGCTTGGGGCCCCTTCCAGCAGCACGTGGGTTTGCCATCTGGGCTCCCCGCCCCCAGGCAGGGTGGGGTCCAAGTGAAGGCCCATCTACTGGGCACACCACGGGCACAGGTGAGGGGCCGATAGAGGCCAGTTCCGAAAAGACACACGCTAAGCCCCCTGGCTGTGATTTCAGGCAACACAAGGGAAAGGTGAGCCTCGTCCAAGGCCACCAAGCAGATGACAGGCCTGTGCGGAGTCTGGTCAACAGGCCCCCACCGCAGGGGCCCACCCGAGACAACCCTGCTGGGGGTGCTCCCGGAGGTGGAGGAAGGTGTGTCCAAGAAGCGGCCGCGGGACCCGTGTGGCTGGACAGGAGAGGACAAAAGTCTGAAAGTTGAGCTGGATGGGGGAGGGCCGTGCGAGGTCCTGACGCAGACATATGTCGGCCAATCCCGGAGTCGCTCCCCTCACACCGGAGCTAATTTGAGCCGCGGGGAGGGCGGGAACCTGAGTGGCCAGGCCCGTTGGCTGGTCTCCCAGCGCCACCAGAATTCCCGCAGTCCCCAGCTGTCTGGGAGCGGGTGCCTTGGGCATGACCCTGGGGGAGGGGAGAGGCATCTGAGAGGGATCTACTCCCCTCCCCCTCAACAGAGTCCCCCTGGGGCTCGGTCAAAGGATGACACCCCCAGACCCAGGAGTGGGCCTCAGAGGACATGCCGCCTGATGCGGGGCAGGGGCAGGAATAGTGGGGAGGGGGCGTTGCAGCCTGGAGCCTTCTAGGGCGCATGGGGGCATCCAGGCCCTGGGGTGGGGGCAGAGAGCCCGCTGCCCCGGGTGGGCTCCCAGCAGTGGGCCGAGGGGCACAGGCCGTGGGCAGCCAAGCTGTGCCGGGCAAGGGTGACCACGGCCTCCCTCTGGGTCAGCTGGACATGGCAGTGGGGAGTGGCCGGCACCGTCTCAATGGGGGTCAGTGAAGGCCCAGAGGCAGGGGTGTGGGTAGCTGGGGCGGGGGGCTGGCGGCACCTAGTCAGCTGCCAGGGGCTGAAACCCGAGCTGGCGAGCCGGAGCTGGGGGCGCTGCGGGAGTGAGGGGGGACGCTCACCAGCGGCCGGCGCTGCGTGATGTGTCTGGAAGTGTAACCGTGAGTGATGATTCGTGGGCGCAGGGCCAGGCCCGGTGCTCATCACCTGTCAGGTGTAAGAGGCCTGAGGCCGTCCTCCTGGCCCCCGGCCCTCACCAGTGACCACAGCTCAGCCCGATCCCCCGGAGACCACTGAGGCCACACGCTGCACTCCTGGCCCCAGCCTAGCGCCTGCCCAGAGGCCAAGGGCCGAAAGGATGTGGTCCCAGCCACCCAGGGGTGCCCGTGTGGCGAGTGGGGCGGCCACCACCGTCCTGCTCCCACCAGGGAGACCAGGGCCCAGGGGGAGGTGCGGAGGGCGGCCGCTGTGCGTGCCGGGCACAGGGCTCCCCAGGGAGAGGGGGTTTCTGAAGGGCAGAGCCCACAGCTGCCCCTGCTGGCCCGACACACGGGGGCTCGGACTCCACCCAACTAGACTACGGAGAATCACCTGCCAGCTCACAGGGGTCCCTAGGGCCCAGGCCTCCAGGCTTTCCCAGCTGGGGGTGCTCCTGCCGCCCCCTCTCCCTCGCCTCCCTTGAGACTGAACACTCCCAGACCCCCAGCAGGGCTGAGGGGCGCCCCTCCGGAGTGAGGGCCCGCCTTCTGGGTGCTCTCCTGGCCGTCCCCGAACCTGGCTCCCCGTCCGGTCCAGCAGAGGCGGTTACACTCCCCCCCTGGACAGGGCTGCCCCGCACAGAACCCTCGGCTCTCGCTCCCCGAGGCCGGGACGCCCCACTCTAAGACGGGGGCCAGAGACCCCCGCGCAGCGCCCGTGCCTTACCTGGGCCAGCAGCCCGAGGGCGAGGAGGAGCTTGGCGTCCATGGGCCGGCGGCGGGCAGCGGGCCGAGTGTCCGGCGGCGGGAGCGACGCCTTCTGCTGGGACTGGACCCGGCTGAGTGACAGCACAAGTGTGCGGGGCGAGCCCGGCGAGGGAGTGATAACGTGTGCGGGGGCGAGGCTGGGCGGGGCGTGGGGGCTGAGTGACAGCACGTGTGCGGAGCGGGGCGTGGGGGGGCCGAGTTACGGCATATGGGCGGGGCGTGGGGGCGACTGAGGTACAGCAAGTGTGTAGGGCGGGGCGTGGGGGCTGAGTGACAGCACATGGGCGGGGCGGGGGGGCGGGGGGGGCGGCTGAGTTACAGCACGTGTGACTGGCAG